TAGCAAATAGTGAAAACTCCATGCCAGGTTTTTTTCCCCATCTTTGTCCCATTGGTGAAATTTCCATTCTCTTCCTATCCTATAGACACAACAAGAAATGTCTTCAAAGTGAGAGATGTCCCCTCTTACAGCTGCCACAGGACCAAGTGTCCCCATTAGAAGATTTCCCGTCCCTTTCTGTTCTGCAGTCCATTATAAATTTTGGATGTCCCCTCTCCTTTAGCCCAAGTGACAATGATCACTAGTACAAAGTGAAAGAGTAAGGACTGACGCAAACATCTCTTTTACAAGCGATTGATGGGTTTTTTTTTCAGCCTGTAAAAGTACTTCCACGTTAGCCTAAGTGTCCATGTACATGTGGGCATTTCCAGGAGTATTAGAAGTGGAGCATTTACTGGCAGGAAAAAAAACATCACCAGCACATTCAGGAGAGGAGTTTTTGGTCCCAGAGTGACTTCTTTCTCTTGAAGCATCCTATGGACTCACCCTTACATGCAGGGGCTACAGCTGCATATCCCTGTACTGTGTGCATTGATAGAAACACACAGCCCCAAAACCTAGGATGGCAAGGCACTCCCCTGTTCCTCCCTCCCCCTCCTCCTCCTCCCCCTCCCTTTATCAAGTTAACAGACTGACTCCTGATTGCACTGTTCACTGTTTTTTTTACAGTGAACACTGGAGTTTCAGGGAAGCAGCACTGAGAGAGCAGACGCCAGCAGCATTGAAATTTGTAAATTGCTGAGGTAAGAATTTCACCAAATAGTTATATGGGGAATATTTATGTTAGTGTGTTCAAAGCGTTAAGCTAAAAAATACTGAGGGTTTAAAAGAAAGGTTCACCTTTTGAAAAATAAATAAATAATAAATACACATTTTTTTTCCCAGGAAAAAATGTGCATTTATTATTTTTTGTTGCAGGAGCCTGTAAGGCATTGCACCGGCGATCAGCAGATCGCTGGTGCCATGCAGACCTATCAGAATATCTGCTTTCTCTTATGGGATATATGGGCAAGCAGATACAGTATACTGACAGAAAGAATCAATGAACTTGCACATCACTCACAGAGCCGTGGTAGTTCATTGAGAAATACAAGCTGACAGCCGCTAAGGCTGTCAGGACTAGTAATTTCTCATTCACAAGGACTGTGAATGAGTGACATGGCTGGGTGGGTGAATCCCCACATGGCTGCATTTTTAAAAAATTTGACAGCTAGTGGGGGAGAGGATCGCCAGCTAGCTGTCAAAGTGGGGGAGTGGGGGTGAGCCGAGGCTGGTCCATTCATAACATGTTACACCCTGAATATGGGTGTAACATGTAACATGTTATGAAAGGTGAACTTATCCTTTAATACTACTTTAAAGTTTTAATATCCTTACCACTATGTATTAATTGTAATTATATACTGTATGTACCTGGCAGCAGCCATATTAATTCAATACATATGCAGGCTCTGCTTATTGTTTGGAGTTCAGCACAATGGATGTGCACAAGTGTATGTGAGTGGACTGGCTCAATGAAAACCATACATTTTCTATGTGGCTGATGTTTTATCACATACTGTATCTATCTATGTACTATAATCACGCAAACAAGTAAGGGGAACGCTTGTAAGAAGTGTGAACATCAAATCAAATGTTGCTCTAAAGTAAAAATGCAATAGTCATTCAAAGTATGTATTCAAAAATATTATACTTTTTCTTTAAAGTGTTACTAAACCCAGTACCCTGCTTTCCCTATATCTGGTCTCCCACAGTACACAGAACATGGAAATGCAATTATTTTAGTAAATATAAACTGCTAAATACCTTTTCACATCAGCAGTTATAACAGTCTTGTGACTTCTATCAGTGTCCAGCAGAGAACTGGTTAAAGCTTGTAGGAGGAGTTTTCATTCTCTTCTCGCTGTCCTATGAGATTGCATGACCCCTAAACCTCTGTCTGGACAGTGCTGATTGGCCCTGTGCTGATCACGTGCACTCTCCCAAGAAAAATAAAAAAGTCCCTAGCAATACACACCAACTGAGCATGTGCAGGGTCCCCGAGGTTCTGTTCTATCAGGAGATGAAATGGGGAATGTGGAAGAAGGGGAGGATCAGAGAAGACAGGATCAAACATCCTTTTTACACAATGCAGAGGATTAACCTCTTAAGTTCCACAGTGAGTATAACAAGCATGCTTTCCTGCATATACAGACTGATTTTACTGTTGTGAGTTTGGTTTCCAAAAGTCTTAGTTTAGAGACTGATAGGGAAAGCTAAAGTGTTACTAAAGTAAATCTGGCTATGTATGCAAATATTGGGTCCCCTAGCCCAACCTGGAATAGGGTGTCATTATCTTTAACTGAACTTAACATGTATCTGTACAATTTGAAGATCCATTATAACTCCCAAGCATTTAGGGGAGAAAAGAAAACTTGCATGCCTGGCACATACATGCCCCAAAGCAATGATCACATAAATTGAAGCATCAGTAAAGGCAAACCATTTTTTCAGTTTTAGACAGACTGGAGAGAGATTAGAAAACATGTCCGTTTTTATTGCTGTCTGCAGGAGGTTCACCTTCTCTATTTGTCCTGATGACCGTTATCACCAAGAGTGAAAGTAAGAGAATATCCTAAATTCTGGGCTGTCCCCACAAGAGGAATACACGGGAAATCTTCCAAACTAGAACTAGGATGCTAGTTCTGGTGACCCTCATAACAGCCAGGGATTCCTCACTTTGGAGGGATTTCGTTTCACTTCCGGTTTTGCCTATGGGACAGGAAGTGAAATCTCCACAATGGGACACAGATGGCAATGACAGGGATTATAACCCTCCTTTAATATAATCAAAATGAAAAATAAAAAGTTTTGCCTTTAGTTCCACTTTGACTTTCTTGATCTCTATTCAGATATGAATCATGTGAGATAAAATTAGAGACAGCCCCATACAAATGCAAAGGAGCCATTTTTTTCACACACACACTAAAATGCACTTTTTTTTTTACATGAAAAAAACCCTCGAAACATTATACATTTCCTGAAAGAGGAGACCCTGTAGAATAAAATGGTGGTAGCTGCAATGTGTTTTAATGTCACATAACATTTGCACTACTGTTTATCACATCTATATTGTCGGTAACATACATTCAAATTAATTTTTAGAAACACAAATACAATATTATACCTAGGTACTTGGTAAAATACAAACTACAAGGTTGTGTGAAGTAAATATATAACAAATATGTCAACCCTAAAAATTGTGTGTGCCTGCAAAATACCCAAACATTTCCTTAGGTGTTGCTTTAAAGCCTTTACAGTTCATCAGTTTAGAGTTAATTGGGAATGATGGCCCTAGAATTATTGCTATTACTTCTGTGTGTGAGGCAATGCATAATATGTGTGGCACTATTGTCATTTTTGTATGTGTGCACACCCGATACATGTTTGCATTTATATGTGCATGCAGTCCATGGGGCTTTTGCTTGTTAACATTTTCATATTTATTAAACTTTATTTTTTATATTTTAAACTTAACCTTATTGCTATCAAAAAGAGGTTGAAAGCCCTTAGGTGATAGTGCAGGTCACAAGTTCTCTTTAAGGAGACATCTGGGGTCTATTAGACCCCTAATGTAACCCTGCACTCTTTTGAATCTGATCCAGGGCAACATGCTTCTTCCTCAGCTAGAGTGGCAGAGGTTTGACAGCTCTGATCTCCAAAGAGCTCAGAGCTGAGTACTTCTTGGTTCATACTACTACAAATGGTGTTCACTAATCTTCCCTTAACACCAGCCATGGAGGTCCTGTCCAGGAGGGACAGGTAAGCCTTGTAAGCCTGGGACACATGGTGGGGGTGTCAGGAGGATGGTGCTGCTCAAATCACTTCTACGTAACTGACTGCCAGAAGAAAAAATGGAAACAAAGTCTTTGTTCACATGCAGGCTGTAATAGTTATGACAGCAGCAACAAAAGGGTTGAAGGACAATTAGAATAAAAGTCTTCTGTTTGTTAAAATGTATGTAAAGCAAAAACATTTTATTTTTTAGTTTTGTGTATAGTATAGTAGAGTATAGTTAAGACCAATGTTTTTTTTTTATCCCACCGGGGAGATTTACACTCATTTCCTGTTTCGAAAACACACCAGACAGTAAGAAGAATTCTCCAAAGTGAAGGGATATCCCCTCTTACAGTATAAATGTCGCAGTGGCTACAAAGTAAAGCATCAGCTTGTGTTGACCAATGTCCAGCTGCCTTTGCAGCTTAGGGTAGGGCCGGTTGGGGTATGGTAAAAACATGGCTTAGTTGCCTGCTTTTACTACCTCCAACTTCAAGTGTAAGCAAGCCTTAGACAGATGTCTCCAGAACAGATTTACCTTTTGGAAATTTTTCCCTAAGTTCTTGTCCCTGTGACAAATCTAAAATATTGGTGTTCCTATAATTTTCTCCTTTTTCTCACCAGGACTGATGTCAGGGTGAATTTCCCCAGCAAGCACACAGACAGCAATAGGACAGCCAGAAAGGTCAATAAGTCAGAGAGAGGTCCTAATCCTTCCTCAAACTATCCAAAGCTAAAAGGTTTTGACTTTACCTACACTTTAACAATCTGCAAATTTACTTTGGATAGAGTGAGGAAGGGTTAAAATTATGGAACAACTCTGTATAAGCACCACCCCACACAGACACCTTATCTCCATGCTCATGTTCTCCTAAATACCTGCCAACGTGGACCCGGGCTCCATAGCTTGGGAGAAGGACATAGCCATCTCCTTTGCAGAAGAAGACTGGGAACAGACTAATGTACTAGTGCATAAATGCTCACAAAATATATTCCCACAGATATAACTTTCACAGAAGATGGTACTGAACACCATCAAACTCCAATACATGCTGGTGCTGCAGATCTGCTATAGGCACATTTGGTACCCCTCTATTACCCACTAGTGAGAGTTCCACAAACTTAGTACCCACATCACCACTGCTGCACTGTACTTCATTCCTGCAGCTGTGGCTCCCACACACCCAGGGGTGGACTGACCATTTGGAAACTCGGGCACTGCCCGAGGGCCCGGGGTCAGTAGGGGGCCCCATGAGATGCCCCTGGTACCTTTTTCATAGTCTTTTTTGAGTTTGGGCAAGGACAAAGGGGCCCCATGATCCCCTATTGCCCAGGGGCCCCATGAGTTGTCAGTCCGCCCCTGAGTATGCCCATACATTGGACTTTATGGCCGTGCACAAGAGGCCTACAAATGAAGGCTGCTACTACAATGTCTAGCGGACTACATATTTACTACCATGATTTCAATTGAGCTTTAAGATAAACATTACAAAAAGAACTTAAATTGTTTAGTCAGTAAAAATGTTCTATACATTTTCCGTAACTGCAAAGGTGTAAATAAAGTCATGGGCTACAGAGTTACATATTAGCTCACAGATAAAAATGTAATCATAGCCATCTATATAAGGATTTAATAGCAGGGTTGCATATTAATATTGCCAGACTTTACACCTCCAAATCATAAATGTGTTTACAGCATGGGGTACTGTTACTGTAAATTTTATGATCCTTGTATTTGTTGTCTTGGACATAAAAGCATTGTATTACTTAAAAATGCTACTAGACCTTGGGGAATAGATGAATTATGTTCCCATAAATTCTGCTCAATATATAAAAGCTAATGCACCTCTTACAGTACCTTATATGAATATTGGGAATCAGTGAGGAGTTTCATAACCATAAAAACACAGCACCACGCTTGAAATAATATTCTTTGGGTCAATGGAACTCTAAACTGGCTAGTATTTTTATAAATTACTCTAACAGGTACAGTATATTTCTCTGGATAATAATAAACATAAATAGAAACATCCAGCTATAAATTAAATTGTATCTACTTTTAAGAACAAAAATATAATATGTTGCAGCTTACCAGTCCGTAGGTAAGGCAGCTGCATTAGCTTTCTTTTTGTTTACATTTTTTTTTTCTATTTTCACCTGGTATTTTCTCTTGCCAAGAACACACTTCTGTCCTAGGATGACAACACCAACATACTGTATTATATCTATGGAGGGACAGCATTGTCACCCTAGGACAGAAAGTTTGTTAAAACTAAAGGATGCCTCATTCTCTCCTCTTCTCCATAACATAGAGAGTGTTCTGTAGTTTACCAGAAGTGGGCATCTATAAAAAAGGACCCTTTTACATGGGATGAACTCCATTAAGATCAGCAGAGGATCTGTCCGCTGATACCCTGCTGATCAGAGCAGAGTGGCCAGATGACAGGTCTGTGTCCTCTCACTTTCTGCAGAGCAGCCATGGACAAAGCACACTCTGCTCTATAGAGAATTGGGTGTACATGGACTCTGCTATCTATTTACACCTCAATTCCCTCCAATCTGGTGTGCCTAGACAGAGGCGGACACATTTTTATTTTTAAATTTTTTTTATTATTTTTTTATTTTTAATGGACCGGATTGGAGGTAGGCAGGCATAAACTGACAAGTTGGTTTACATCCACCAGTCCATAGAGCCTGATCAGATCTGCCTGAAAAACCTGATCGAAACTTTGAGTTAAAGGTGCCTAACACTTCTTTACATATAATGGCATATTTTGGTATGATTGTATAATAGCATATTTTGTATTGTAACAGATTGGGGACAAAATAAGAGGCTTTTTGTTGTTAGCATTTGCATACAGTTTAATAATAATGGTCTAATGGAGAGATTACCATATTCATTATGAACAGCCAAAGTCTTTCTTGGGTTGTGGTCACACAAGTCCTGCATTGTATGTAGTCAAATATTGCAAAAAAACTTCTAGTTCTGAGGTCATCTGCATGTCTTGGTGAGTGTGTTTTAATGCATGTTGAGGTGCACACTGTTTATGCTCTTATGCTTTTCTACACACAATACACATTCATGTAGTAAATGCACCTGACTATTTAATAGAACAACCTAAGATTATGACATTTTGAGGAAAAAACAGTTTTCATAGATGATGGTTCATAAAACACATGTCAATATACACTGCTCAAAAAAATTTTAAGGAACACTTTGAAAACACATCCGATCTCAATGGGAAAAAATATCATGCTGAATATCTATACTGACATGGACTGGGTAATGTGTTGGGAATGTAAGGGTGCCCCATCGTTTGATGGAAATGAAAATTATCAACCTACAGAGGACAGAATTCAAAGACACCCCAAAAATCAAAGTGAAAAAATGATGCAGCAGGCTAGTTCATTTTGCTGAAAGTCATTTGCAGCAACTCAAAATGGTACTCAGTAGTTTGTATGGCCCCCACGTGCTTGTATGCATGCCTGACAACATTGGGGCATGCTCCTAATGAGACAACGGATGGTGTCCTGGGGTATTTCCTCCCAAATCTGGACCAGGCCATCATTGAGCTCCTGGACAGTCTGAGCTGCAACCTGGCAGCGTTGGATGGACCGAAACATGGTATCCTAGAGGTGTTCTATTTAGGATTGAGGTCAGGCAAGCATAGGGGCCATTCAATAGTATCAATTCCTTCATCCTCCAGGAACTGCCTGCATACTCTCACTCTCACATGAGGCCGGGCATTGTCATGCACCAGGAGGAACCCAGGACCCACTGCACCAGTGTAGGGTCTGACAATGGGTCCAAAGATTTCATCCCGATACCTAATGGCAGTCAGGGTGCCATTGTCTAACCTGTTGAGGTCTGTGCATCCCTCCATGGATATGCCTCCCCAGACAATAACTGACCCATCACCAAAACGGTCATGCTGAATGATGTCACAGGCAACATAACAATCTCCCCAGCTTCTCCAGACCCTTTCACATCTGTCACATGTGCTCAGGGTGCACATGCTCTCATCTGTGAAAAGCACAGGGCACCAGTGGCGGATGTTCCAATTCTGGTGTTCAATGGAAAATGCCAATCAAGCTCTATGGTACCAGGTAGTGAGCAAAGGGCCCGCTAGAGGACGTCGGGCCCTCAGGCCACCCTCATGAAGTCTGTTTCTGATTGTTTGGTCAGAGGCATTCACACCAGTGGCCTGCTGGAGGTCATTCTGTAGGGCAGTTCTCATTCTTTTCCTCCCTGCACAAAGGAGCAGATACTAGTCCTACTGTTGGGTCAAGGACTTTTTACGGCCCTGTCCAGTTCTCCTAGAGCAGGGGTGGGCAAACTTTTTGACTTGAGGGCCGCAATGGGTTCATATATTGGACCCGGGGGCCGGACCAAGAGTAGATGAATGATGTGTATGTGTCATCCATAGTAAGTATAGTAATATTCCCCCATAGTAAGCATAGTAATTAATCCCCCATATAGTAATTCATCCCCCATATAGTAATTCATCCCCCATAGTAATCCATCTCCCATATAGTAATTCATCCCCCATAGTAATTCATCCCCCATATAGTAATTCATCCCCCATGTAGTAATTCACCCCCCATAGTAATTCATCCCCCATATAGTAATTCATCCCCCATAGTAATTCATCCCCCATAGTAATTCATCCCCCATATAGTAATTCATCCCCCCATATAGTAATTCATCCCCCATATAGTAATTCATCCCCCATATAGTAATTCATCCCCCATAGTAATTCATCCCCCATATAGTAATTTATCCCCCCATAGTAATTCATCACCCATATAGTAATTCATCCCCCATAGTAATTCATCCCCCATATAGTAATTCATCCCCCCTATAGTAATTCATCCCCCATAGTAATTCATCCCCCATATAGTAATTCATCCCCCATATAGTAATTCATCCCCCCTATAGTAATTCATCCCCCATATAGTAATTCATCCCCCATATAGTAAATCATCCCCCCTATAGTAATTCATCCCCCCTATAGTAATTCATCCCCCATATAGTAATTCATCCCCCATAGTAATTCATCCCCCATATAGTAATTCATCCCCCATATAGTAATTCATCCCCCATAGTAATTCATCCCCCATATAGTAATTCATCCCCCATAGTAATTCATCCCCCATATAGTAATTCATCCCCCATATAGTAATTCATCCCCCATAGTAATTCATCCCCCATATAGTAATTCATCCCCCATATAGTAATTAATCCCCCATATAGTAATTCATCCCCCATAGTAATTCATCCCCCATATAGTAATTCATCCCCCATAGTAATTCATCCCCCATATAGTAATTCATCCCCCATATAGTAATTCATCCCCCATAGTAATTCATCCCCCATATAGTAATTCATCCCCCCCATAGTAATTCATCCCCCATATAGTAATTCATCCCCCATATAGTAATTCATCCCCCATAGTAATTCATACCCCATATAGTAATTCATCCCCCCTATAGTAATTCATCCCCCCTATATTAATTCATCCCCCCTATAGTAAGTCCCCCCTGTGTCAATTCACTTACCTTTGCTGCGCCGATGGGCGTTATCTCACCCAGCTTCCTCAGGACCAATGAAACACCGTGGTAAAGACCCACCCATTTATGCAAAAAGCCAACCTGCAGTTAATTCCTAATGGAAGAAAGAAAGGGCTAAAGATTTAGCACAGCTGCTGGTCATTATTGAATAAAATTAAAAAACAGATATCCGGAGAGGGAAACAGAGAGGGGAGAGTGACCTTTAGCACTTTGACATACTTATATGATCAAAAATTCATAAATTAAATATATATTCGTCAACTAAAGCACCCATCACATTCTAACCAGGAAGGTGGCGATATTAATCAGGCAGAAGAGGTCTTTGGGATGTGTCTTGTTTTTTCCTACAAAAAGTGGTGTATAGTCGCGTTCCTCTCGCCGTGTTCTCGCGCCATTCCGGTGTAGCATGAAAATCTGTCTCCTATGAGGATCTGTCCCCCTCGACGTATCTGCGCATGTGCCAGTTTCCGGCATTAGCAGCCAATCGTCGATCTCCGGCACATGCGCAGATACGTCGAGGGGGACAGATCCTCATAGGAGACAGATTTTCATGCTACACCGGTCTTCAGGGCGGACTGTGAGAGGAGCCTAGCTCCGCGGGCCGGATTAAAAGGTCCGCCGGGCCGTAGTTTGCCCATTGCTGTCCTAGAGGAACTGACTGTCTCCTGAAATCTCCTCCATGCTCTTGAGACTGTGCTGGGAGACACAACAAACCTTCTGGCAATGGCATGATGTGCCATCCTGAAGGAGTTGGACTGCCTGTGCAACCTCTGT